GGCATACTTAAAGTTGTAACAGATGTGTCATATAACAGGGCTAATATTTTCCAGACTTTGTGACCATCATATCCTCTCTTGATTTTATTTTGTAGCATCATTGACTCCTATTTTGCCTTCAATTCTGCAGGTTCAAATTTTACCCTGTAAGGGTTGCCTTTATCACTATAATCTACAGCTTTGGTCTGTACAAGTGGTGGATGATAATGTCCAGCTAAGCTTTGTCACTTATTTACATGGTTTAAAAATACGCTGTCCCAGGACAAACTTTTGATAGTTTGTGATGTCCTCAAGGGTTGTAAATTACGTGCATACATTTAACTTAATTGTAGACATTTACGGTGTTGTTATTGCATTTATATGATTTTTTTCCCTTTCAATTTCAGATGTATTTGTTGATTAAGTGACTTCCTTCTCGCTTCTTTGAGTAGAATCAGTGTACGCAATTATATCAATCTTTTGTTTCAATTTCAGATGTATTTGTTATTGAAGTGATTTCATTCACAGTTTTTGGAGTAAAAACATTGTGCATTAGCGAGTTTGAAGAGAGATGACATAGAGAATATATTCTTCATGATTAAAAGGACATTCGCAAAAAAAAAAGTGTTCTATGAACTGTTTAGATTTCAGGGAATGGTAGGCACAGCTCATTGCTGTTCCGATTGAGCTGGTTGAAATCTTTTTTTTTTTTTTTTTGCTCCTTTTCAGCTCATTGCTGTTCCGATTGAGCTGGTTGAAATCTTTTTTTTTTTTTTTTTGCTCCTTTTTCTTTTGGGCAATTAAGAGATAGCCCTACTCATTTGTATTTTCAGTATAAAGACTTATCATCATTAGTCTTTTCTAGCAACAGTTATTACCTCTCCATTATTGGGGAGATCGAAGGGGTTATGTACTTATGTGAATTATTATTATTCTCAAAATGTCAATTTCAGGGATGACGCTTTAATAGACGAGTTGTGAGATGATAAATGCTAAAATTTTTCAAGAAAACTGAAATATACTAACTCGTAAATATATTACTCTGGTATGATGTAAGTTTGAACCTTGGGTTGGGGCCTAGTATTGATCAGCAAGGCTCTTAGAATTGACTGTACTAGCCAAGTATCTACTTGACCACTTCAAAGAAGTATTTAAAAGGGGGGAAGGGATCGTCAAACAACTCATTATTTCTTAGGAGGAATAGATGAAAGTGATGATGGCATATTTTTAAGCGAAGCTTCTCTGAAGAGGTGGGAAAAGAATCTTTTCTTGTTGATTAATCCGCAGTGTTTTCTCTTACTTTTGTTTTGTCAGGAGGGAGGAGGAGGAGACCGGAGGGTGGAGGCGACTTGGGAGGTGGGATTACTGAGAGCCGCCAAGGAAAAGAGCACAAAAATGATACTCGGGACTACACGAAACTTTGAAGTTATGGTAAAGATTAATGATTATATATAGTTTTGAGCTTTTCTTCCTAGAAGTAATTTTAATAATAGGATAATTATGCAAAAACCGTTTTTAAATTTTAATTTATATATAAATCATCTTTAAAGCGGAAATTCACCTCCAGATACGTGGCTTGTTTCCTAACAAGACCTAAAGTTTTAACAATAAGTCACGTGTTTTGAATGTGAGTTTTAAAGAATACTTTTGAGTTTTTAGCGAAAGGGGAAAAACTAGCGGTTGATTGGTTCCAACATAAATCCTTGAAAGAAAAATTATGTATAAATTAAAATTTCAAAGTTGGTTTCCATATAATTACCTTGTTTTTAGATAGTTTCAAGAGAGAGAGAGAGGAAAAAAACCTCCATAATTTTATGGCGGCATCCTACTAAATTGTCTACCTAATAATGATAGAAAACGAATTTAGAGATAATATACACAGAAATAATCTCAATGTTATGTATATCAACTAGCATCTTACTAACTTTCTATCTAATCATGATATAAATCAACGTAAACGAGTTCACATGTAACGTGTACTGAATAATCTACATAAACAAATCATATTGCGCTTATTTGATTACTTACTCTTTTATGGAAAAGAATGGAAACCCCTGGAAATGTGGGGGCCACATCCTTCTTTTCTGCTTTCTTTGTGTTTGGCTCATCTTAGGGTTGTTCAATCGGCCGGTTCGGTTTTTTACCAAATTTGACCAAACTGAACCGAACTATCTATCATTCAAAATCGAAGCGAACCGATTCAAGTCGGTTCGGTTCGGGTCGGGTCGGTTTGTTCGGTTTTTACTTAGGTACAAATGTTATGTCCAAATTCAATTTCACCTCTAATCTGTTGATAAAGAAAGAAGTCTCTTACACTTTAATTTATTAAAATTCATAAACTATTAAATGCTGCTGAATATTAGATGTAGAAATCAAAACCTTATTTCTACCAAAGATTACATAAAAATTTTTAGAGAAAACTTACATAAAAAATTAAAGTGATTTTAATGTGATAGACAAAGTAAATAAAAAATATGTAATAACTTGGATGTTGAGTATAGTTTCTATAAAATTATAAGTCTGATCCAAAAATGTATCAATCGAGAAGAAAAATCAGTAAAATGTTAGAATCAACATTATAGTTTAAGTTTCTTACCTCCAAAGTGGATTGGTCCAAAGTAGAAGAAGCGAATATGTAATAGAGAGGGATAGAGAACTAGAGATAATGGAAAGCCCTAGAATTGGAGAAGACACTATTGCTGGGGTATTTTATCACTATCAGGTCGCGTGAGAGAAAACTATATCACGCTGCAGAGAAGTAACTCTATATGAACTATAATGAGTCGGTTTTAAGTGGATGTAAATAGTAATTGGAATGAGTAATACAACTCGGTCGGTTCGGGTTGAAAAAACTTCAACCTGACCTAAACCAAACCGAACTGTTAAATTTCGGCCGATTCTATTGTCTTGCTCGGTTTGAACCGAACTATGCTCACCCCTAGCTCAACTTTGAAAATAAGAAAGAAGAAAGAAAAAGATGAGGTGTCAACCAAACAATGATTGATTTGACCCTCAGTTAAGGAAATTCATTTCAGCCTTTTCTAGGTAGAAATAGGCTTCAACAATTTCTTATTTTGTTCTCTAATGCAATATAATTTGTTTATGTACATTATTTCTATACACATTACCTGTGAACTCGCTTTTAGCATTGGTTCACACCCCCCGCCCCCCCCCCCCCCGCCCACACCCACGGTCTCCCCTCCTCTCCAACCAAAATAAAAATTAAAAAAATCATCCAGCCTCCGTTGGCACACACACACCAACCCCACAACAACCAAAAAAAAAAAAAACAACAAGAAAAGAAAAGAAAGGCTGAAATGTGTTTCCTTAAACGAGAGTCGAATCAAGCAATGTTTGGTTGACACCTCATCTTCTTTCTTTGTTCGTTCTTATTTTCAAGGTTAAATCAAACGTTTAAAAAATAGAAAAGTAAGATGTGACCCCGTATTTTAGGGGTTTCAGTTTATACATAATTATCTTTAAAGTGAGTTTGTTTTGTAATCAATCACATCCACTTAATTTTTTAATAAAAATAAAAATCAGGCTTTAAATTTTTTACTTTAAGGGGCTGTTTGGTTCGTTTCCTTGATATAGAGAAATGCAATTCCATGTAAAGAAACACAAGTTTCGTTTCCTTGATATAGAGAAATGCAATTCCATGTAAAGAAACACAAGTTTTGAGTTTTTCAAACTTTTTCAAGAAATAGATTGTTTTGCTCCATGTAAAGAAACACAAGTTTTGAGTTTTTCAAACTTTTTCAAGAAATAGATTGTTTTGCTTTGGTTCACACATAAAAATTGTGGGAAACCAATGTATTTATTTTTCTTGTATTTGGTTCGCATAGAAAAAAAAGGAAAACTTTTGTAAACAAAGCAGAGAAGGGTAAAAATCTGATGTGGCAGAGTTTTCATCAATTTCACTTGGTTGGGGAAGGAAATCTGAGAGGGAAAAAAATCTTAGTTGGCGGCGATTTCAGCAGAGTTTTCCCTCTTCCATTGGAGCGAATCAAAGCGGCACAAAGAAATGGACGGAAACAAAAAAGCTGACGTGGAGGGCTAAAAATCTAACGTGGAGGGGTTTTCTTAGTTTTCCACCCCTTATAATAGCAAACCAAACAACCCCTAAAGATACATGACTTATATCCAAACAAGATCTAAACATTAACAAAATGAGTCAATTGCTTTGAATAGTTGAATGTCAGTTTTAAAGGGTATTTTTGTATTTTTAGTAAAAAATTTGACTAGGAGGTGTTGATTGAAACACAAACCTAGAAAGGGTATTTTTGTATAATTACCTTGTTTTTAAGGTGATTTCGGAGAAGTTAAAAAAAACAATATAATTTTATATTCTACTGAGCTTTGCACTTTCTATCTCAAAGTTTTTAGTTTCTAGATTAATACTCCATGCAAAACATGACATTTCCATTCACATACTATTTTGTCCATACTAAGTTATTCTCATTTATTTGACATACGGAACTCATTTTTGTTAAATATTGAACTGTAGGCGAATAAGCCCTCATTGCTTCACATGAAAAGATCGGTTATCGTAATCTAAACAGAATAAGGCCGGTAAGAATTTAGCACAGCTATGGTATGCCTTTATTAACCTATATGTTAAGAAAGAATAATTTGCTCATTCAAATCGTATCAATAGTAAATATGATGCATTTCTGGCTGCATCTTACTGTTGCCGTACTTACTTAACAGTTCAAACCCAAACTTGAAAATCAAAATGGATCCGCAGGATTGTTAATTTTTCTCTTTGTTCACTGATAATAGCACGAGCGGTGTTAGAGGCACACCTCCGGTCACACACACTCCCCCACCTGCTACAGTACAGGATAGCAGGTGGGGGGAGTGTGACCGGAGGTGTGTCTCATGCTGTGCCTCTAACATTTCTTTAATAGCACTGATAGTAATAATTTGATCTGTTTTAAACTGTAGTAGTGTCACATAATTAAGAAATGTCAATGGATTATTGGCCACAAGGCCTGTTTCGGTGATTGGACTGACTAAGAATCACACAGTGACAACATGTAACGTGTTGATGAAACAAAACTTGCATCGAATAAGTTCAATTGAGACCATACCATCAAACAGGACCAAACCTAACCCACTTCCTTGCAAAACCCGAAACAACCCATGTGGTCCTCCTAAAGCGAGGGGGTACAAAAACCAAGTCAACCATTAGTTATAGTACAACTTGACTCAACATAAAAAGGACAAAATGGGCATTTTTGCTCATGGTAATTATTTACGAACAACCCCCAATAAATTCCCTTCTCACTTTCAGTCCTTTGGTCATACCCTTTCTGTCTTTTCATCGCCACCGAAGTCNCCCCCCAAATCCCTCTCTCTAAATTTTTCTTTTCCTATTTTTCTTCAGCTGATATCTGATGACTCTATAAACGGTTACTCATACGATTTTTCTCGTCGTATCCCGTTCATTTCTTTCTTCCTTCCGACGCACAAAACTCAAAAGAGAGAGGACAGTTTAAAAAAAAAAATACAGATAAAAATAGTTGAGGTATTTAATATAACTGGAGAGAGAAAGGAGGTGACTTTTCTCGTTTTTCTTGTTTCAGAGGCTGTTGACTGGTTCGGTAAGATATTTTGCTGCCTACCCATTTTATTTCTCGCCCCCCTTTTGTTGCCTTTCTCGATGTGGGCTAAGGTAAATCTATTGAAATTTCAGGAATTTTTTTTTTCTGTGAAAAAGTTCGGGTTTTGGGAAGTGGGTTTGGATCAAAATCGAATCTTGACGATCGGATGAAGTAGTAGAGAGCTGTGATTTTATTGGAAAAGGGGGAGGGATTGGAGAAATTTTTTATATGGATAGATTATGCTGCTTCAAGCCTGGATGGTCTCAGGTGAGAAAGGCCGGTTGATCGAATTATTTGTTCCCCCCCTTAATTTACTGATGACATAATTGGGCATTTAGTACTACTTTCGTATAATTGAATATATATGTTTGGGGAAAGCTACGGTTTTGGTGAATTATGTTCCCTTTTTGTTTGATTCTGTAACATGTGAAATCTTTTTTTCTTCTACTGGCTTTTGATTTCTAGTTGGGGGATGTAGCATGTTAGATTGGGAACTGAGAATAGCTACCGCTGAGTGGCTTGCTAATAGGAGTTCTTTGAGGGTGACTGATCCTGCTTATTACTCAGTTTAGTTGTGTGATACCTCTAACAATCTAAACTTACATAACCCATTTGCGGGTTGTATATTTATTTTTATTTCTAACTAGTACAGTGCACGTGCGTTGCATGTGGTACATGGTTATATTAAAATAACTAAAAGAATAATATATAGATATTGAATCAACGTACTAATAATATCATGTATTTATGTTTTGCTGTAGTGTAATATTATTCTTAAAAAATTATCATTTTAATAAATATCTTAAGTATCATACTATAGTGACCATATTTTGTAAATTACAAAATTAATATTTAATTTTAGATATATGCCAAAAAATGCTTTCATTGGTATAGTTATTTTAATAAATATTTTAAATATTAAACTATAACCAATTATATTAATAATTAAAAAGAGTAAATAAGAAATTACCCTCCACACAACAATTGAACTTGCTCACTTTTTCAGATGGCCAAGGGACAGACATCCAATATTCATCACAGAAGGTTAAGACATCCCAAAAAATGAAAACACATAACACGAATTAAAATGAGAAAAGAACCAAAAAAAATAAAGCATTTAAATATGCGCTAAAATAAAGCACTTTACTTATTTTGCTTTTAGAGTTTAACGATATGTTCTAGACTTGCGAAACACACTACTATGTAATCTCAAATGATATTTTAGCATTCAATTAATAAAACTCTATTATATAATGAAACTAACATAAGAATTAACTTCGATTCATTCTGGAAGCATAAGGAGATTCATTACATGCAATGGAAATCACCCGCAATAACATAGTTTACATCGATTTTGTCACAACATGCATTATTTTAATCTCAAAGCAGGTAATATTATATTTTTTTTCATCTCAAATATTAGTAGAATTGATCCTAGTGCCATTTAGTTCATCTGCCATCGTCTTTCAGTAGTCCTATGGCCTCATACTTTGTCTACTATCATTGTCGAAAGGCCTCAATGTATCATTGTTGTTTACCACGACTGTCTTAACATCCCACTGCCTTACTGTCATCCTCCACCTTCGTTAACTTTCGTGCATGGCCACTCCTTGGCATATATGTTCCATGACTAAGTAAAAAAGGCTCGACAAGTCTTCATTCTTATTTTAACTTAATACCATGCATATACAAAATCAGTGCAAATGATTAAATAAATACAAAAATGATAGCTAAAATGATCGCAACGAGATATTGAATAACTGCAAATAATATCGCAAATTTTAGTGTAATGATCAAATTTAAGATTTACTATAAAACACATGATATACACTTCTGCATCCTCATGAATTTGTGGCCATCTAGGTACTTTTCTTCATAAGAACATTGGAGGTTATAAATTTTTGTTACTAATGTGGACATGTCAACATGGACATTGCCGCTTCTCAGCTTGGTCCTTGTCAACAAACTCTCAACGTGTTTTGCTGTCTCTCACTGGTGCTTATCGTTGTCAACAAATTCTCCATGAGGCTTGCCACATCTTCCCAGTTCTCCTCGGTCTCATCGTCAACAAAACCGGTGACTGTCTCTCCTAGGTGCTCCTCGGCCTCAATATCGATCGAACCAACTTTAAAATGAATCTTTTTTAAACGAATTTTTTGCTGCCAAAAAAGCTTCCTCCTCCACTTGCTCTATAGCTAAATTCCTCTCGTAGAACCTTTCGGTCCATCTCCTTTGAGCTCCGACCCCCCTATAAGTCCACTGTCTTTGGAGTCATTAAATCTCAGAATACATAGGAAAAATTTTAAATTAGTGACAATAAATATGAGTAGTCACCTTAGTAATCAATTGGAGGGAAGTTACAAAATTAAATGTCTAAATTGATGAGAAGAATTGAATCTATTGGCATTTGGAAGAGTCCGTTTATTTGTGGAGGGATTGGAAAAGAGGCGGATGTGAGGAGAATTAAGGAGGACAATTTGGGTTTCAGGCTAAATAAATAAATACATATTAATTACAACATAAAGTATCAAGAGTTTTGTGATTTTTTATGTGGATATAAGGATACCCTAAGGATACCCTAAAAGTCCTCATAAAGTATGTATGTATGTATGAGTCAATGTATGTATGACATTTAATTAATAAATGATGTTAGTATGTAAATGTATGTGTAATTTATGATGTATGTATGTGTGTTTGAGGGCATTTTTGGTAGAAATGTTTTAACATGGCTACACACTTTTATAATAGTATAAGATTTGGTTGTTGCTAATTAGAAATCAAATTCTTTTCCTCATTATCTCTCAAAAGCAAAAATGAGGAATGGAGTAAATAGATTAGATGGAATTGATATAATCCCTCTCATTAAAAAGCGAATCTTTGCATTTTTCTAACCCGGCAATTTCAAATAATTTAGTTTGTGTCAGGACTTAGGAAAGTTGACTTTTGAAAGTAATGTGGTTCGAACTAGGCTCATGGATTTCTCTTTTTCTGTAGGTGTTAGAAATTAGAAATCTATAAATAAAAGTGAGAAGAAAAGGAAATAGGTATACAAATTACAGGTCATGCTAATAATGCGTAGTAGCATTACTGACAACCGTCAGTATCTGTATGATATGTTGTTGTCAAGTGGGTTTACAAGCTTTCTACATTATTCACTTCCTCCTTATTCACAAGCATGTACTACTGCTTTGTGTTTTTATGCATACCGGTTCTATTTAGTGATATCAAGTTTGAAACTTTCCATAGTGATATCAAGTTTGAAACTTTCCATAGTGATATCAAGTTTGAAACTTTCCATAGTGATATCAAGTTTGAAACTTTCCATAGTGATATCAAGTTTGAAACTTTCCATAGTGATATCAAGTTTGAAACTTTCCATAGTGATATCAAGTTTGAAACTTTCCATAGTGATATCAAGTTTGAAACTTTCCACAAGCTTCATTTTGGATGAAATCCATCCTCTTAACATGTTTTTTTTAAGGAAATTCCTTTAGAAATTTAAGCATATAAATGTCCAAGGGAAAATATTCATTTTATGCAATTAAGCAAGATATAAAATATTGACATCTCAAGCATATCGAACCAAAAGGATACTGGGCTCCTACTGCAATTGGGGGCTTGGGAGTTCAACCCTGGCAGTACTAGGTGCAGAGCTTTTATGACACCAAAAAGAAACAAAAAGGAGAGTATATCACACTGAACTACATTACGAATAACTGATATTGTATGCGATGTTATAAATTGATGTTCTGATTTGGTAATCAATGGATTTGCTTTTCTCCATAGGTTGCTTTGTGACTTGATCTAAGAAACAGCATAGTTCTTTTATAGTAATGAAATCAGGTTATATATGTTATTCTCTTTTCCATACAAACAACTTGTGAGTCATGTTATCTGATTAGCTGATGCACCTAAGATTTATCAAACTGCTATTGTTCTTTTTTGGGTCAGTTTTAGGGCCTTTTCTTTTTAATGTTTTTAATAGACTCTTGTCTCATATTTTACCGATGTTAATATTAATTTCTAGATTTAAGAAGTTTAATTGCACAAAATAAATTTGGAAATATTCTTGATTAATTGAGAATATAAGGAGACAATGTGTTATTTATAAAGAGTGACAGAATAGCTCAAGTTGGTAACTGCATCGGTGTTAATCATTTTATCATAATCACATTAACTTTAAAAATTGGTAACATTTGTTGTATTAATTATTTAGATCCATTAGTTGCTTACGGCGTATGTTTATCCTCTTACCCATGTTATTATTGAGTATACTTGACTTTAACCCAATGAAATGAAGTAGTCTTGAAGACCCGGGTTTGGAGATCTTTCTCCTTTCTCTATTTCTGCCCCCCCCTGTTTATCTGATTCTTCAAGTTCTGAACGGGCAATGACTCCACCGAATATTCTCTTCAAAGCCATAAGTTTTTATATTGATTATTTGTGCGGCAGGCGGGCGGCACAAATAATCAGTATAAATCAAGCCAGAGGGGAAAATAGATTAATACTAATGCAGTGACCAACCTAAGGGTCCAATATGTAGTTTTCCTCCACTGAAAAGTCCAACCCTTTACCACATGTCAGGCCTATATGCCTTAATCAAGTACTGCAGGAAAAGGAAAGCAAAGTACATTTCCCGCGCATGCTAAAAGTATTAGAAGCTTAAACACATGTCATTTGTTTCTGTAACTTGGAGTAGTTGTTAATCATCTGTTAGTTATAGTGATTTGCATGAACTAGAGTGCCCAAAAAACTTTTCTTTACAACCAAATTACCAACATTTATGTGCACGAAAGATGGATGTTTTACAGTACTTGGTCAACTACTGTGCCCCAAGTTTTTCATAAATATCCATTTCTTTGCATGTATGTGGGATTTTTACTATGAAGTTCCTTTATTATGATAATTTGAAATTCCTGATTCCTTTCTGGTATATTTATGTTCTTTGAGCGTGTAATATGGTGGAAATTTATACGATAAAGTGCTATCAATATTTTTCCTGCCTAATTAGTTTTACCATTTTAGTCGCCAGGACATTCTTCATCAAATGTGGGTAAAGGAAAAAGTTATCAAGGTAACATCAGAGTTAGCTATGGCTATAGCCTTGTAAAAGGAAAGGCTAATCATCCTATGGAGGATTTTCATGTTGCCAAATTCGTCCATGTTAAAGGGCAGGAGCTTGGCCTATTTGCTGTTTTTGATGGCCATTTGGGAGATAGTGTGGCTGCATACTTACAGAAGCATTTGTTTGCTAATATTCTAAAAGAGGTATGGTTTCAGTAATTGTTTCTTTTTCTAGCCTTGTTATTTGGATATATAATAAAAAATAATAAAGAACACAGAATGTAATCCGATCTCCTCCTCTTGACATAGGAAGAATTCTGGACCCATCCTGATAGAGCCATTTCAAAAGCATATGACAAGACTGACAAGGCAATTCTTTCTCACAGTCCTGATCTTGGACGAGGTGGATCTACTGCGGTTACTGCCATTCTCATAAATGGCACAAAGCTGTGGATAGCTAATGTCGGTGATTCACGAGGAGTTGTAGCAAAAGGTGGGAAAGCAATACAACTGACTGTTTAGATCCCCTAGTTTCCCCTGTTCTTCAGAAGTTGTCTTTGTTGCCTCAATGAACAAGACAACAAGTTTACCCATACTTTTTGAAGTCTGGTTAAGAGTTTACCAGTGATAAAAATTTGGCCAATCCTTACATTGAGCCTTCTCGACTGGAGAAATAGATCCCCTAGTTTCCCCTGTTCTTCAGAAGTTGTCTTTGTTGCCTCAATGAACAAGACAACAAGTTTACCCATACTTTTTGAAGTCTGGTTAAGAGTTTACCAGTGATAAAAATTTGGCCAATCCTTACATTGAGCCTTCTCGACTGGAGAAACAATAATGAAGAATCTATTTTTTCTGCCCTTTACCATCTGCAAGCTATCATCAAGTTATTGTACATTTAATCTTCATTGCTTGCTCGGGTACCTTATATTATCGCACTAGTTAACACCCAATTCTTTTAGCATGTACTCACTCTCTTATTCTAACATTAGCATGTGTGCATTAGAGATGTATTGATTGCTTATTTCATTCATTTTGTGTCATTATCTACTCCTGTTGCTAGTTTCTTGTTGAATTATCTAGCATAAGGACATCTGAATAACATCTATTTTTGTTAATCTTTAGGAGATGTCCCAAGGGTCAATGGTCAACTTGCTGTTTCCCGTGCGTTTGGGGACAAGAGCCTCAAATCTCATCTACGTTCAGATCCTGACGTTACTGTACAAGATATATATTCCGATACTGAACTACTCATTCTTGCTAGCGATGGTCTTTGGAAGGTTAGCATTAAACTTAGGATAAATTTAACACACCTCCCAAGTGGTTTTCCCTATTTTGAGATAACCATCTAAAAGTTTAGAAATGTCATTTAACCCACAAAAGTTTTCAAATAACCCCCAAACAGTTGGGGGGTTATTGAAAATAGATTCAAAAAATGCACAGAAGTTTTGGGGCTTAGTGATGTTTCTCAAAAAAAATTCAGGGTTATATCAAAATTGGCCAAAACTTCTTTGCGGTGTTTTAAAGTTTACCCTTAAAGTTGGAACTGACCATTTTTTTCCAGCCTTTGTTAACAAAATTTAAGGCTCTCTCGATTCACTCTTCCAGGTTATGAACAATCAAGAAGCAGTTGATCTTGCTATAAAAATTAACGACCCACAAGCAGCAGCAAAGCAGTTGACGGCCGAAGCATTGGACAGAGACAGTAAAGACGATATAGCTTGTGTTGTTATTCGATTCAAGGCGTAAATTTGGCTTCCGAGTCTCTGCCTGATGCTATAGGCTCATATGATAATTATTAGCTTGGTTTTCTGAAAGTAGCTGTAATGGCCTCATTGATTTCACTTGTAAATGTGGTTTCTGATATTTGTTTGATTCCTTGCAATGTCTTAGTTCCATGGAGACCATAAGGTATCCGATGACAGGTTGTGGATTTAACTTGGCATAAATGATTGGTAGATTTGTATGTTTTAAGATCTCTTGTTCCCTGTTTATTAGTTTTTCCATGAAAGCAAAATTGTGTTTATTGCTGTCATTTTGAGCTATTAGATTTGAAATTCCTTATTTTGAAGCTTGTACTCTTTTGGTGGGGGGTTATTGGTTTAGGATTTTTTTTACTAGGACTAGGACTTTTTCTAGGATTTAAGGTGTTACTGGTTTAGGTTTAGGATTTGGATTTTAACTTTAAGGTGGTATTGGTTTAGGATTAAGAATTTGAATTTGACTTTGTGATGTTATTGGTTATTTAGGATAATGATTAGGACTAGGATTTTAAAATCCAAATCTCAATCCTACTCTATACATTCTAGTGAGGAAGGTTCAAAAAAAAAAGTCCAAGTATAAATTAGTGGATTGTGATCCCTCTCCTTGGATTTTCTTCCCCCTCCCTTTGATGAGTCCTCGTACACAAAAAAACACACTATTAACCAATATTGATAAACCATTTTTAGTTAGTATTAAATATTAATATTTAATATTACGTTGTTATTTAATAAAAACTAAATATATTCATGTTTAACTATTTTAATTAAATATTTAGATATAAATTTAATATATTTACTTGTTAATATTATTTATCATTTTTATATTAATTTTTAATATAACATATTCAGTTTAAATATTAACTAAATTTATTATTTAGCATATCATAAATATATAAAATCATTTAATATTAATATTAAATAATAAGAGATATAGTAAATATGCAAGTATTAAATGTAAGTAATATGTGAAATTAACTAACAAAATATTAAATGTTAAATGGCTCAATTATTTTTAGTTATTTAACATATTTAATATTAAATATATTTAGTTAGATACTTTTTAATCAGATTCTTTATATATATTTAATAATTTAAAAATTAAATAATACTTTAATATTTTATATTATTTTATTATTTGTAAAATTAATATTTAATGTTATACATTTAATAGTCTAATAAATTTGATATTAAATATATTAATTATTTATCATATATAAAATAATCTATTAAATATTAAATATATACTTAATAGTCATCTCAATTCATATATTTAATATTTATTTAGATATAGATAGGAAATATAGCAAATTAATAGTTAATATTAAGTCTAATTAATATTTCATATATTAAATAATAAAAATATTAAATACTAAATAAGTTTATTTTTATATTAAAAATTTGACAAAATTTTCTATTATATTTAAATATTTACGCATACAAAATATTATTAAAAGTTTGATTTTCAATTATAATTATAGAAAATTACAATAAAAATTATTAATATTTATAGAAAACTATTAGTTGAACAATAGTTATGTTTTTTTTATAGAAGAATAGTTATATTTGTTAATGGTTATTTGACATTTAGTCCGAGAATCCATTTAAAAGTTTAAATCCTTCCAAAAAAGTCCAGGACTCCAATCAAAATATCTTAGTTCCTACTCCCAATCTTAGAATATAGGATTTGTGGACAACAATTCAAATATTACCAAACATTAATCCAGAATGAATAACACCCTGAATGCTGGATGCACTCCTGCATTGAGTCATGACATTGTAATTAGTTAGTTCCTTCAGTAAACTGTTTCTCATCATTTGACGATTTATTATCTCTAAATCATTTGTATGAGAAACATGGCTTCTGTAAATTATAGGAGGCGCAACCTAATAAAGATAAAACACAGGAAAGTTTGCGTCCTGATACCAATATGATCATACTAACCAATTTCCAAAAAAAAAAAAAAAAAAAAAAAAAAAAAAAAAATTAAAAAAAAAAAAAAAAAAAAAAAAAGAAAAGAAAAGTGATCATTCATAACATTTGATAGTGTGTTACAAAGGACAAATTTTGAAAACAGACCACTTTGCAAAAATATTCTCAAAAAAAAGTCCCGTTTTTACTTTATTTTTAAAAAACGACCTAGTTTTCCACTTTATTTTCAAAAAACGACCTACTTTGTTGAAACTGGGTTGTTTTTTGTGAAAAATATTCCCAAACTTCACGGGAGTTGAACTCCCGTGAAGTTTTTTTCATAACAAAACTTCACGGGAGTTCAACTCCCGTGAAGTTTGTGAACATTTTTCGCAAAAAACGACCCAGTTTCAGCCCTGAGGTTAAAACTGGGTCGTTTTTTACGAATATTTTCAAAACGGGTCTTTTTTTGAAAATATTTTTGCAAAAGGATCTGTTTTCAAAATTTGTCCGTGTGTTACAAACTTCAGACGGCTACAATTTTTAAGAACAAGTCATCTCCATCACCTCCAATCCTCAACACTGTTGCAGGTAACCGCAGGCCCAACCATTTCTCCCCTCGCCGTTCCATTCACAAACTGGAACTTAACATCAGGACGATACACCCCATAGTATCTCGGAAGCCAATGAATCCCGCCGAACCTCAAGTAAGCCTCCATCTTCACCCCAAACTTCACCTCGCCATGATTCCTCGCAACATCGTCCTCGATTGCCTTGACTGCACGCGAACTCACATCATGATCCGTCTCCACTACCCTCACCTCCTTGCTTACTGTCCCGTCGGCGTCCTGGAAAAACTTACGCCGTTCGTTCGTCGCCGCGATGGTATGAATGCCGTACGTGACAGTGGTCTCCACCCCGGCATAATCTACGTCCATGCGTTTGTTAGGATTTTGGATGGAGGAGGTGAGTTTGAAATCGTATGACATGGATCATAATAATAGTAATGCGGGGGTGGAGGGCAGTACGATGGTTCGAGAAGTTCATGGTATCGGCTCCGTGGAGGCTGGCTATAGTTTTTGATAATTTGATGGAGCAGGATAATGACTGGCATTGGAAGTGCGTTAGATGACGGTTGGAGATTATAAGTTTGCCTTGGTGGAGGGGGGCAATCTGTTTGACGATCGGTTTGTACAGGATCGTGACTGGGATCGGGGGTCGTCGGATACGATGAGAGCCTGTTTTCACCGTTTGTTGCGGAATCAGAAGGCACAGGATTCGGAGATGACGCGAGCCCGTGTTGGCATTAGAGTTTGAGGCAGGGGTCACCGGAGGTGGGGATGGATTTGAGGATGAAAGCACATTAATATTTCCACCCTGGGATCCCTATTTTCATGCTGCGTTTGTTTTCTTGACAGGTTGAAATCAGTTTCTCCAATTTCGGGCAAACTTGTTAGGTTTCGAAAGACAATTGCTGCTTCGAGTTTTGTTGCCGATCCTTGGGATGAATTCAGACTCCCATGCTTCACCACCATCAAATCATTTACACCCACAAATGCAACAGGCAATTTTTCTAAAGAAATTAGTTGATTCTTAGCTCATAATTTCATACGTGCACAGTCTTACATATACCCAAGCAAAGCAAACTCGAAGGAGAACAAAAGACACCTTCAAGTGCTGATAACAACCTTTTAATACATAGAAAGAAGCCACCAATCTCTAATATGAATAGCAGTTCCAAAAGCTTCATTTAAGAACTGTAGATTTTGCTAGCCTGTACTAGTAATATCAGCAACGTGCCAAAGGCCCCTTTATAAAAGAGCCATTAGCTTCTGCACACAACTACTCCTGCAGAAACAACAAATTAATTAATGGAGGGGTATAATAATCATGAACTCATAAAGAAAAGAAAAGAAAATGTCCTTCGGCAGGAAAAAAGACCGTTGAGGTAATGTATACATAATTACATATGACATATTCGCTAATAACTTGTAGTTGTGCAGGTATTTACTCTCAAAGTGATTACCAGTGATAGTGATTTCTTACCTCCATATTGATATTGGCGCCCTTGGATTGCTCTCCTACAAAGATGAAATAATGGTTCCATAAAAAAGGGCATTTAGAAAGGATGTAGCATTTCAAATGGCAAAGGGAAATTAAATTTGCTAAAGAATGTCAGATAAAATTTTGAAGTCATTGTTCTATAATCACTTCTTGCAAAATTTAGGTGCTAATACCCCACTTGTTTTTTTTCTTCTTTTCTTTTCTTAAAAAAAAATTAAGCCATTATGTAGATCATTTATGCTTATAAAAATTATATCCAAGGGCAAAAATAAGAAAAAGTGGGCAAATGGATGGATGGAGTTTTATGTAATCTGCTCCTCTCTCATCAGACATCCACATGCGCACAAAAAGGAACGTTTGTGTGTCTTCAAATTAAATACAAAATCAACTTTTCTATGACATATATGAAGTCAATAGGAAACTAAATTTGGTACCTTGCATGCAATAAAATTTAAGGTTATTTGCATATATACCCCTTAAATCATCGGTATTTCCAAAAATACCCCCACATCAAAACTACCCCTCATATCATCAACTTTGGAAACAATATCCCTAAAATCAAAAAATCATCAACTTGGTGCTAAATATTTGGCTATTTTGTTCATAATTTTTACATTGCGATTACAAATTAGCTTATCAAAGTTTATGATTAATTGCTTTGAGGGTAAGTTTATCCAAAACTGGTGATTTGAGGGGTAGTTTTGTAGATACTGAGATTTGGAGGGTATTTTTGCAAATACCCATGATTTAATAAGGGGTATATATGCAAATAATCCTTACATTTATAAAGAATAAGAGTAAATCAACATCCAATTCCTAAACACAAGAAAAATATCAACACTTGTTGGTCACAAAGTTAGAAAAGAAAAACATCCTAGGGCCATCAAGAGTGAGCTTCAAAAAGCTTACCTCCTTCATCTGGCAAATCAGATGTCCATAATGTAAGATTGTCCTTGAGAAGCTGCATTATAAGTGTGCTGTCCTTGTAGGATTCTTCGCTGAGGGTAGTGAGCTCTGTAACAGCCTCATCAAATGCTTGTTTAGCCAGGTGACACGCTCTGCTTGAATGTATACAATGATGTATAAGAACCAACCCGTTGGATGTGAATTCTTTGTTTACATGACAGCCACATTGAATAAAGCAAGTTTCTATTTTCAGAAATAAATAAGTACTAACAGAAGAAATTAATTATTGAACTTGCACGAGATACCCATAACAGTGAGTAACACATATGATGCCAAAAGCAAAATGAAGAATGCACCAGTAGGATACACACGTGCGCGCGCGTAAATGCGATCTGGTGGGTCCACCCATGGCCTTGGCCGGTGTCTTACTGATGTCACATATATCCAGAACACTAGATGTCAAATCATCAACATACTCACATCATAGCTGATAGACTTGGCCAGTGTCTTGATGACGTGGCACACACAGAACACTACATGTCAAATCATCAACATACCTAAATCATAGCTGATTGTCTGGATATTTGTCTATGTCACAAACACACCAGCCAAAACAATAGTCGGGATATGCGTCTATCTCAGAGACACCCCAGCCAAAGCCTGACGGTCTGGATATATGTCTATGTGTGTGCGTGTGTGCCAGCGTGGGGGCATAAGTGTCAGCATGGGTGTGTCCACATGCACATGCACATGCAGATGAGGACGTGCGTGTGCATACATGTTGGCATTTGTGTGTGGGTGTCTGTGTGTGGGTATATGTGTGTTCGCATGGAAGCGGGCGTACATGTAGGGATGTGCGTGTTGGCAAGTGTGGGAGGGTGGGTGTCAGCGTGTCTTAGAGTCAAGTTATCCAGCATTGTTGAAGCATCTACTTGTGAAGCCAACAATCATTAAAGTCATCACTTATCTCCACTAGTTTTGGGTTGTGTCGTACTTACCTCTCAGGTGAATTGAGTATCTCATAGTAGAAAACAGAGAAATTCAGAGCAAGACCAAGCCTTATTGGATGAGTAGGCGGAAGATCAGTCATCGCAGTACTTGTGGCAGCCTGTGTTGTTTTTAAGTAAAATTTTCTCAAATCACAGAAATGACAAGCCCCCAACTTAAAAAAAAGGAAAATAATAATACATAACAACAACATGATGAAAAAAAGGAAAAGTAAAAGACACCTGATACGCCTTGAGCGATTGGTCTGCAGCTTCTTTTCTTTCATTTGCAGACTTGAATTCAGCTAAGTATCTGTAATAATCTCCTTTCCTAAATAAATAAAATAACTTTAAAAGAATAATCTATAAGAAGATCTCGCTGCAACACTCTGTCATCTTCAACCATAGTAAACAGTTATCAACATGCAAGCATCTACATAAGACTGTGACAGGTGCACATTTTCATTTCATATAAAAATGTGCAACCAAATTATAAGAACATAAAAGAATAAAGCTAACAAATTTGCTCATCAAGATCGAAAAACAGGAACAAATGAAAAAAACCAGTAAAAATTTTTGAACCATATATAACAATATAAATCCAAGAACATTTAGGTAGTTTTTTTCTGGTGTATTTTCATGTCTCTGCAAAAGTAAGACTTATTTTTCTAGAACAAATTGCAATGTCCAACAGTCTAGATAGTCAACAGGATATAAGTTATGATACATGGGCTAAAATTTACAAAGACTAAATCATCACGACGAGGGAATATGATGAGAAGTTACATTCCACCTTCATTTAGAAAAGGACTTGAAACAAATATATCTTAGGATGGTGATATCTTGATATAGCTTAAGTCATGTAAAATTCCATGATTCATAGGTGTTATACCATAAACATATGAGTGCTACGTTGACGTTAACACCTCCACATATGACAATAAATGTGACAAAAGGAGATACATTGCCAATTTTCCGCACCCAACTATAGAGGGGGGTCCGGAAAATATCAAGCAGAAAGCTAGGAGGACACGGGAATGACCTAAGACCACGAGCTCACTTCTACCACGAGCAGGTTCCTTTATCATAAGACCGTTAAACAGCAAAGAATATTTCCCTATACACCTCTCTGTCATTTACAGCATTCCCCTTTTTGAAAACAAAGGACAATAATCCAAGCATAAACCACCTTATCCCAATCAAGCTAATAGTGACAGTTTAATTCTTTATATATAAGGAATGACAGCCGTAACTTTCTCTAACCTAACTCTCTTTAGAGTTTTAGCTGAACTTCTCTTTCCCCTCTCCCTCGGTCTCCAATTATAACTGTTTAATTCTCTATATAAAGAATGGACAGTGGTAACTTTTTCGAACGTAACTCTCTTTAGGCTTTTAGGCACTTACCATTATCTTTACAATCTTTGGAAGGATTCTAATTCTGGCGCTGGTTAGTGAGTTGTTCAGTGTGTAGGTTACGAGGAGAAAGATTCTGATCATCAGTGGATTCATCAGAGACCCAGTTTCCCTTATTCATTCCTCTTAATCGGAGGAATAATCATAGCGAAATCTACTGTGTTACAACAGTAGACAATTGTATCTGATATATAAACAAGTACAGGAGTTTCCGCCTTTGGTATATACCTTTAATTTAAGGCTATGTCTATAAATGCATCTAGACATTGCTATCTGATTCACAACACCTGCCAGCTATGTAGCACGGACACGGATCCGACACGGCCATCCGACACGCCGACACGAGGTAAATCCTAAAAAATACACGGATCCGACACGGCCATCCGACACGCCGACACGAGGTAAATCCTAAAAAATACATAGGATACGTGTGTTCGACACGTGTGTCCGACACGGACACGACACGGCTTCATGTTATGCGTGTCCGTGCTTCATAGCCTGCCAGGTCATTCGCTTGTGAACTTCCATAGTAATCTAGCCATTGAAACATACATGTATCATGCAAGAATTTGTAAAGAAGTTTAGTTAATGGAAGTTCTCATATTGCATAGAGATTCTTGGTTTTAGAAATTGAGATAGTGAATAATCAATAAAGTTGTATCACAAAGTAGAAGATTGAAAATAAATGAGATATCAAAGAATCCTAATCAATAACAATACTATAACATAGATATTAAAGTTACCTTTCACTACACCGAAACTTTGAATTTGTGGTAAGCATTGAAGTCTATAATTTAGTACTCTAACGTGGCCCCATAAGTTGCGAGCCGAAACCTAGATGCATGCACCAATATTTTTTTAATCATTTTGCACTCATGGACAAGGGGATTTAAACCTTTGAACCAGTATTACTCTAATGTCATTTAAAGTCTCTCGCTACTCCATAAGTGGCGAAGGTTGAGGGTTATACCTTTATATTCTAACGTGGATAACCATAATAATAACTTGATGGGGGGAAATAAATTCTATCCCACAAAGATTAATGCTCACATTTTGTAGAAGAACACGACAGATTCTCCAGCAGTTGAGGATGGGAGGAGGTGGATGGCAATAATTGACAATATGTCATTGCAAATAGCCACTAGCTCATTTTCGACTCTTTTCATGTACTCCCTTATCATTCTCGCAGCATGCTCGTTCCCATTTGCCGCTTCCTTCTGCTCGATTGACGAGAGAATACGCCATGATGCTCTCCTTGATCCAATCACATTCTTATAACCCACCGATAGCAAGTTCCTTTCTTCTGCCAGCAGCTCTACATCCATTCTAGCAACCCTCTTCATTGCTTCCACCATTTCTTCAATGGAAAAAAGAACACAACATTAGGCTCTTTTCTTCTTTATTTCATTTCGACCCATAAGACAAGGTTTTGATCACAAAAGTTCCCATCTCACTCTTTACAGCGAGTAGTTTTTCCATCTAAACAGTATAAGAGAACAAACTAAATTCACTTGAATTCCTTTTTTTTTAACAATACAATTACTCGATATTGCATTTTTCAGAGGAGCATAAACGAACCATAACAGGAAAGAACAAACTTGCGGAGATAGGAAAAACTTCTCTATGTAGAAAAATCGTAACTTTTTTCATAAATAATAGATAATTAAATCAAAACATAGAGCATTCTGACCAGCAAGTTTATACTAAGGAGCAACCCACTTAACAAAACTTAGCGACACTTAAGAAAATAGGCAAAATAGGAAAAAAAAAAACATAATTTAAAATCCCCAATAAAGGTCAACAGTTGTAGATCCAACGTGATATTAATTTACCAGGGGAGAATCCTCCAACATCAGCACTTGCAGAAATCCCAGGAATCTAGAATTTTTCTCTCATGAAAGCCCTCAAGATTTTAATTTTAATTTTAGTTTTCCAGCTCAACGGAAAAACACTAATTACACAAAATTAAAAATATACACCCTTTATGTTCTCTGTTTCCTTCCTACAATTTTCTTGCTACAATCTAGGAACCCAACTGAAAAAAGGACCAAAAAAAAAAGAAAAAAAAGAAAAAAGAGGATCATCACCTTCATATCTCTCTGCTTGTTCAGCTAATTTTGCAAGGAAAACTAGCCTTTCTCTCTCCTCCATTCCACCCATCTAAGCTCTCTCTCTCTCTCTCTCTCTCTCTTCTTACTGGAGCTTCTTCTTCTTCTTCTTCTTCTTCTTTGTGTGCTTTAGAGATTTGTAGTCCATCTCTACGTCTGCTGACTAGATTAATTGGTAGCGAGACAGGTGCTGGTAGGCTGGTAGCAGCAGCACAGCAGTACACTTGGAAGATTTTTATTCTCTTTTTTGTTTTTTTGCCCCCATCTTTAAGAATTCTGAGGCAATTTTGAAGGGTTTTTTTTTTCTCTTATCAAAGCTCACGACTTTTTTTTCTAAAAAAACTCTCAATGACAAAGCCTATTACTTTTGGGCTAAATACCTATATTGGTATTTTAATTCAATCCTATTTGTCAAGAAGGTATTTTAATTATGAAAATCGGCGTTAAGGCATTTTAATTGAATAAAATTATCAATTAGGTCATTTTTCTCGTCGGCGGTCACTTTTCCGGTGAGAACTCGTCACGTGCGTTGCACGTGGTGGCTTAATCTGTGTTTAAGCTGCTGATGTAGCATTGTTTTCTGACGTGGCAGGGAATTAACCCTCTAAAAACCAATATGGACCCAAAATAGGACATATTCGCCCTTTCGTTTTCAGAATTTGAGCGCGAGAGAGAGGGAGAAATAGAGAGTGAGACATCATCGTTGAGGTAGTTGAAGGCGATAGATTGCAGAGATTTCAACTGATGGTGTTCCTCGGTGCATGCTTTAGGTGATTTGCGGAGGACGACGACTTGGTACGGGTTGAAGCTGATGCGAAGGTTTGATTCTCTTTATACCTATGAGATCTTTTGGTGGCTTTGAAGAGGATAAGTTAATCATGTATTTAGTTTGAGTTAAATGTAAGATAAACCTAAAATTTTTTGCATTTTGTTAGATTTGATAGAATTAGGGTTTTCAAAGTTGTGGTTTTTTTTCCAAATAATGGGTTGAATTTGATAGAATTATTACCTTTTTTTTGTAAATTATGCAGATGGCTACGCAAATTATGATTAAATATAGACATAGGGGTTCATTGGACTTCGGAAGTAACGTGGCATACATTGGTGGTTCATTTGATGTTGAGTTTTGTGATGCAGAAGATATTTCATTAGAACAATTGAATATTAGTGTTAAAGAATATGGTTATAACAATGTCGGGATGTTGTATTATTCTATTCCTAGTGTAGGACTGGCTAGAGGAGGTTTAAAGCCTCTAAATTCAGACCAGGATCTTGCAGAAATGATAGAGCATGCATTGAGGCATAGAGTGATAGAAATCTATGCAAATCACGGTGTTGACATGCCAGTAGAAGTGCAATTACCTATTGAAGGTGCTACTTCAATTGCTACATCTCCTAAAAGAAATATTCCTATGATTAGGAGAAAGAAGTTAACACCCAAAAAAAGAGTAGATGTAAAAGAGGGCCAAGTGAGTGTTTCAAACCCTATTATTTCACCACTGTCAATTCCCTCCAAAATCACCACTGCCCATTCCCTCCAATTCACCCCCTCACAAATCTGCACAAACATCTTCTAGTGATGATGATGATGACTCAGTGGAGGATGAAAATTTCAGGGTTGATCCCACAGAGCCATTGTATGATGATGATGGTGAAGATAATGAATTATTTGATGAGTTTAGTGCAAAGAATAGATCAAGAAAGGGAAAGCAAATATGAAGTGTAATAAGAATGTAGATGAAAGTGTTGGAGGAGGAATTGATGTAAGAGTAGGGGTTTCAAATGAGGATGATGGTGGAGATATAGACTCAGCAGAATCTGAAGATATTGAGAGTCATAAGAGCCCAGTAGGAAGTGATGATGATGAGTTGTTTGAAATAAGGCAAAAAAATAAGAAAATTTTAGCGGAGGAGAATGGTAGAATAGCATTTAATGCTGGGGCAAGATTGGTTGATGATGTAGATGGTCCACCTTCTACAGTTAATGAAGCACAACCTGAACCACAACCACAACAAGCTAATGAAGTCAACACCAGTTCCACCCCTATTCATGATACAGATGCTGGTAATAACCAAGCACATATTGCAGAATTGCATATGTCACAGATTGTGGGATTGAATGTAGTAGGTCCAAACTGTAGAGGCACAATTCCTAAAACTCAAAACTGGCCTAGTTTTTGGAAAAATTATGAAGGAGGCTATCAGAGTGATCAAAGAAGTAGTAATGATGAGGGACCATTGTTTGACAGTGATCATGAAGCACCTGAGATCAATATGAAAAAGAAAAAAAAAGAAAGAAAGAGTGAACTACAAGTATTTCAATGAGAGAGTGGATATGAAAGCTGTGTATTTTGAGCCAGGTATGCACTGCAATAATTATTTCATTGTTTTGTCTTAATTATAGGTATACATCATTGTCAAAATAATCATTTGTGTTTAATTTCTTTTTCAGGGTTAAAGTTTACTTCTAGGAGTGTGTTAAAGGAGGCTATTCTAAATTATTCTATTCAACAACACTATGATCTAGTGTACATGAAGAATGACACTAAGAGGATTCACATGGGTTGTTCACTTTGCTTTTGGCAGATGACTGCTGGTCCAGATTGTCATGAGGCTGGTGTTTGGCAAATAAAATTTAGTAATCATGATCATACTTGCTGCAGGACTTTTAAAAATAGATTAATAACTGATAACTGGATTGCACATGTTTATCTTGATAAAATTCTGAGGGATCCAAAGATGAAGCCAAACAACATTTTATCTGACATTTATGAGAATTTTCAAATTAATGTCTCATTGAAAAAATGTAGGAGGGGGAAGGAAAAAGCTCTAAATGCAGTCCAAGGATTAATGCAAAGACAATATGACTTGCTAAAACCTTACATGAAAGAACTAATGAGGTCAAATATAGGTACTACTTGTGTTCTGAAGGTAGCTGAGGGAGAGGCAGGACAACCAAGCACATTTCTTAGATTTTACGTTTGTTTTGAGGCATTGAAGATGTGTTTCACTTTGGGGTGTAGAAGAATATTTGGTCTTGATGGTTGTTTTTTGAAATATGCTTGTGGAGGGCAATTACTTTGTGCAGTGGGGAGGGATGGTAATAACCAAATGTGGCCCATAGCATGGGCAGTGGTTGAGGGGGAGACAAGGAACTCATGACAATGGTTCCTAAGAATTTTGACTATGGATCTAAACATGAATGATGGTAATGGTTGGACAGTTATGTCAGACCAACAAAAGGTTTGTGCAATACTATCTTTATTTCAAATTTTTCTTTCATGAACTCATTGTGATTAACTATGTATGCATTTCAGGGATTGGTTCCTGCTATACATGAAGTGTGGCCAGCAGTTGAGCATAGGCAATGTGCTAGGCATATTTATTCTAATTGGAGGAAAACTCATAGTGGGAGGGTCCTTCAAAGTCAATTCTGGAAATGTGTTAAAGCCACCTCTATGCTAATTTTTCAAATTGAAGCTGCCAAGCTAAGGAGAATTTCAGAGCAAGCTTATGAAGACTTCATGGCTAGAGACCCCAACACATTCTGTAAGTCTCATTTCAAATGCCACAGTAAATGTGATGTTGTAGACAACAACATGGCCGAAACATTCAACTCTTTTATATTACTTGCAAGATATAAACCTATAGTGTCCATGTTAGAGGATATTAGATTATCTATAATGGATAGAATGCAAGAGAAAAAGAAACTCGTATGTAAATTTGTGGGGGGAGTTGCACCTAGAATTCATAAGAAGTTGGAGGAAGCATATCAGGAGCAAGTTCATTGTCGTGCCCATTGGAATGGTGATGAAAATAAAACTGGTTTTGAGATAATCCATAGAGGGCAAAGTCATGCAGTAGATTTGAAAAATATGACATGTACATGTAGGAATTGGGACTTGACAGGAATACCATGCACACATGCAGTCAGTGCTATCTTGCTTATGAGAAGGAAACCTTAAATGTACTTATCAGAGATGTATTCTCAAGAAAACTATTTGATTGCCTATGGAGGAATGTTGAATGCATTACAAGGGAGTAATTATTGGGATGCAAAGGGAGAGGGAATGGTGTTACCCCCAAATATTGTTAGAAGGCCAAAGGGGAGACCCAAAACTGCTAGGAGGAGAGACCCATCTGAAGGTTCCAAGCATCCTTCTAGGTCATCAAGGCAGTGATTAATACAAAAGTATAGCAATTATCACAGAACAGGGCATAGAAGACCCAGTTGTCCTGATGCAGCAACAAATCCTCCCAGGCCAACACATCAACAGGTATTGTAATGCCAATTATTTAGATATCTTTAATAATCTCATATGCAATTGTATTATCTAATTTCTCCATTGATTTACTTCTAGGAAAATCAATCTCAAGTTCTTGATGAAGGCACAAGTGGAAGGAAGAAAATAGGAAGACCAAAGGGGAGCAAAACCAGACCTAACAATTCCATTGAAGATCTTAGTCAAACTAACCCTCTTCCACCATCTCAAGTTTTCATAAATAAAAGAGCAATGGCTAGAGGTAATGAACAATACATACTCTTGTGCACCAACTTTTAATATAGATTCCTACTGATGCACTGAATTTGTTATGTATTCTGTAAGCTCAATCTCAAAATGCTAGAGGAAGGAGTGATATACGACGGGGCCGAGGCAGAGGAAGAAATAATGCAGTCATTATGCCAGAGGGTTTTGGCCTATGGCATGGTGATCATGGTGAAATAGCTTATAGAGACCCAAGTGCCTCTCAAGCAACAATCATACATGCTTCAACTCCAATTTTAACCCAGGATGTACACCAAGAGGAGCATACACAGGCTTCATGTGCACATAATAGTGGGTTGTAATTATATGTAATTATAGTTTAGCTTTTGGTAATATATAGACTTGATGTAGTTGAATGACTTTTTACTTGTTGCTGGTGACTGTAATCATGACAAACACATGACAATTGATGGTGACTTATGTAGTTTGGCTTTTGGTTATGTTCATTTTGCAATGTGTATTTCTACACAGCTTGGAGTTACTGGTTAGTATGTTGATTGTGCAATGTGAACATGAGCTTCTGTGTATGAACTTAAGCTTGTGAGTATGCTTTGTCACAGGAAAACTATATTGTACAGGTTCACTCACAAAGATAATTCATGAAAACAGGGTATACCATGACAAATTTTTCTCATAAACAGTGACAGATCTTCATGTTCAATGCTTCTTCTCATTAAATTCGTAAGTTCATACAATATGCTCTTAAACATTACATATCCATGTCCATAAACCAAAAAAAAAATACACAATAAAAACGACTACAAACAAAAGTGATATCAAACTTGTTGGCCTTCTTGTTTTAATGATGTTTAACAAACAATTTACTTCTAATGTTGTTTTTCTAGTATTTGTGTTTTTGTATTTATTCTAGGAAAACAACATGTTGGAGGATGGATGGAATAGCGCTTCAACGACGATATCTAATGGAGGTTGGCGGAATAGTGGTGAAGCTATGTACAATTCAAGTTCAAGATCCAAGTTCAAGCTTCATCCGCAAGTGTACCAAGTCAAGCTTATTGAAGATCAAGATCTAGCTTGGGTAACTTAGTTTAGGTTTTATATTATGTGTGTTAAGTACCTTAAGCTCAATATCATATACACACACGTATTTAGTTTCTACGTATATATATAGTTATATATATACATGCATGGTTTTGGGTTTTCATGTTTATAAATATGAAATTACATATTTTATATTTATTATTGTGATTTGGTTTAACTACTTAGATATGAAACAAATATATTTTCATATACATACTCAAATGTTTTATTTTCTATTGTATTTGTAAAAATATTGTATTCTTAGTTTTTGGACTTAACAATAATCATATACATATTTTATTAAGTCTACATAATCATTGTGCAAAGTTTCAAAATATGGTTTAGCCAAAATGTCAAAATTCACATGTTTACACTTTCATGTTTTGGCCTATTTTGTAAAATAATGATATTTTTTATTTGGGAAGTCCTTTTTAGAAACCAGTCATTGTAGCATATTTATTATTATGTCTACAATCATTTCCCAAAATTTTACATTTTTTGGAATTTATTTGATATTTTTAAACAGTGTTTTAAAATCAGCATTTCACTTTCAAAACCTGTTTTCCCGAGTATCAGTTCGCGGTCGACCACCACGGTTGACCACCATGAGTTCTGAACTTAGAATTTGTTTTGTTGGCTCGTGGTCGACCGTGGCGATCGACCGTACGTAGTCCAGAGACTTTCGTGGTCGACCATCGTGGTCGACCACCTGTTGTCCAGAGCCTTTTTATGTTTCTTTGTTGCTCGCGGTTGACCGCCGAACAAACTTCATATGCTATTCTAATGGCCTAGTTTCATAAGAGCCATTGCCTGAGTGATTTTTTGTCCTTTTCTTGGCTTTCTCTTGGCTTTGGAGTTTCTATACAATACCCCCTTCTATCTCAGTAACCATGAGAGTGTTTTAAAGAAGTTTAAGAAAGTTTTTAACAAGGGTTTATGGTTGGTTTGAGTTTGGTTTAAAGCTGTTTTGGTTTTCACAAGTGGAGGAGATCATCTTCTTGTTTGGGCTTTAATCTTTATCTCTCCATCTTGTTATTCAGAGAAGAATCTCTAAACTCATTTCTAGCTATTTATTATTTTGTTTATAATTTCTATATGCTAGATTTTAATTGAGTTTAGTTTGATTTTGATTTTACTCATTGTTTACACACACCCACTTGAGCTTATTGTATTTATATTCATAATATATTTGGGTTGGTGAGAATTATAACTTTGAGTGTGAGCTTTCATTGTGTTCTCATTCATATTGAAGAACAATCACTTGTTATTTTGAGCCTAATCGTGAGAATCACTTTGTAATACACTTGTACACCGAGAGGAGTGTGTGGTGAGAGTCGGGGATCATTCCAAGAAGAGTGGCGTCGGTTGACGAGCCTAGGGAGAGGTTGTAACCGAGCACTTGAGGGAGACACGGCTAGGTCCAACACTTGTGAGGGTGTAGAGTATGATTGCAAGAGTGTTGATTGTAAAGTTTTCGGTTAGCTAGAAAACCGAGTGTGAGGTGTAAACGTTATTCGGGTGAACGTAGAAAACCCGGTTGTGATAGTGGATTTCTCCCTGGGAGAGGGGAGCGGAAACGTAGGACGGAAGGTCCGAACTCCGTGATCATATCGTGTGTTTGAGTTTGCTTTGACGCTCTTTATCTTATGTTTATATTTCTTGTCGCCATTGTCCATAGCTCATTATTTATATGATCCACTATCTAGTTCATATTGTTTACCCCTTGTGTTAGTTTCATAACCTTGCATATATCATATATTGCTTATATCTCTTTGCTAGGATATTTCTTATTGTTCATATTGCTTATCCTACCTCATATAACTTGTTGTATTTCATACTTGCTAGGATAACTTGTTAATTAGTTTTAATTGGTATTTAAATCAGATTAGATTAGCATAAGACCCTAATCACCCCCCCTCTAGGGTCTAACAATTGGTATCAGAGCTTGGTGCTCTTTGATTTAAGGACTAATCACCTTGAGTTAAAGATCCAAGTTATCTTTTTTGTGCTAATCTAGTTATGATTACATTTGTCTTGCTTGCATATATTCACATATATATCATGAATATAAATGTATTTCATTTAGGCTATGAATCAAATGTTCCTCCTAAATTCATTAATTTTTCCTATGCACAATGAGCTTCAAGATTTAAACTATTCGTTGAATCTAGAAATATTGACTTATGGGAAGTTATTGATTATGCTTACATTGTGCCCACATTGAAGAAATCCAAGTGGAGCAATCATGATAAGAAAATGTTTTCAATGAACAAGCTTTTGTTAGAATTTTTGCTTAATGCTTTTGACTCATCCTTTTCTAACAAATTTGTTCATTTTGATAGTGCTTACAAACTTTGGAAATTTATTGAAACACATCAAGGCAACTTGGAGGAAATCCGACGTAGTTTGGAGGATTGTTCTTCAAGTGAGTGTGGAGCATCATCATGCACACGGCCACTAGGCGATAGCCCTAGTGTGGTAAGCGATTCGGAATCCGATAGTGATATATCCATCAATGAACTCGCTTGTGCATATGATAGATTATCTCATGCCTATACTAAATTGCAAAATAAT